CTGATGCCATGCATATCAAATTAGTTCGAGACTTGCTCAGAAGGCTGCTTCAAGCCTGGCCTATCACACCCCAGAAAATATGCAAGGTAGAATAGAAGCGAGAGTTTTGACCATCAGGGCAATCACTGTTTGACAATTCATCAGCTTCAGTTTCATTTTCCATAACATTGATAATGAAAAGTATCAGGGTCTATTGTTCTGTCCCACAACCATGCTTCAGGATTTGGCATTAGATGTCTACACTGCTTCTATTCTGGTTCGTTGTTTTTGTTTTCTGTTCATGTAGGTACCTACCCATTAGAGTTGCAAAGTTTTCCCCAAAAGCTGCTACCGGCACCGCCCCGCCCCACAAAAATTTTCTGGGATACCGGCATGCTACCACGCCCCAAGCAAAAAAAACCGCCAAATTACCGGCATGCTAAAAAACCTGCATTCTTGATTCTAGCTTACCCCTGCCAGAGATGCCACATTTTGGCAGTTTCAGTACCCCTCCCACCCAACAGCCATCCATAGTCCAACCACAAATACCAGCAGGCTGATTTTGGCTGAGTTGGCCCCACAAATACCCACAATTTTGAAACTCAATTTCAGTCTATAACTGTTAAAATATTACCTGTAATCAAAGAAGTATTGCCTACAAAAAAACTATTACATTCATCAAAAAGGTGAGGACAAAAAGGACTTGAATTACTGAAATGTGTTTTTAAGACTGGACAGTGAGCAGTAATCACATTTACATTTCACAGGTGTTCTACTTTTCCATATTCTCCTAAAAATGTTGCAGGCACCAGCCAAATGTTAAAAATCTAGATGGTCAAAACATAGGTAAACAAGTACAGATTCGGCCATCTTCCTATCCGAGGAAGCGAGATCAACATCTACTTTTTCCTATCCACAATGGCTTGCTGGTTCGTGAATAAGATACGAATCATGTAAAAAATGTGTTAATAACTCACTGGTCCTGAGAATAGTCACCAAATAATATGTATAAAAACGATATCTTCCATCCTCTTTAACCTCAAGCGGGAACAAACACAGGGTTATCGATTTCGAAACAGATGCGCCATAACTGAGGCTTTTAACCAGCTGATAAAAACGCTGCAAAAAAAATGTAACGACTGCAAGTCACTGCCTCATGAATGATTATATTCATAAAAATTATCCAACACAGTATTAAATTATACTGAAATCAACATTGTAGTGTAATTAACTACGAAGCAATTCATTTCTCTTCAGTTATTCAACCAAAAGGGTATATGAATAAATATTACGTCATCAGATTACATCCATTCATTAGGGGAGAGAGAATCTTAAAAGTAAATCCTTGGTTGTCTAATTATTTGCGCCACTTTGTGTAAATTTTGCCTGCCTGATGTGTTTTCTTGTAAAGATATGACAAAATGCCAGTGCAAATCCATTTTCATTTAGTTACGGGATCAAAGTCAGGCTCAGGGCTACCTAACACCTGCCTTTTCAGGTAGGATTTTCAGTGTCAAATTCTTTGTAGAGTTTCTCAGACCACATCTCATGATCTCAGAACTCAAGGCCAGTTTCCAAACATTGTGTTTTTTTTTTTTGGTGTTTTGATTCTGCCTTTTCCCCTAGGGAATGTCATGAACATTTATTTTATTTTATTGTGCTATACGTATTACCTACCATTAGACTTACTAGTTTATCGTGCTTTTGCAACATGAGTGAGTATTCTTCCTTATATAGACCACAGTAGATTCTTGACAATTCTAATTATAACCAAGCCTGTGAATTGTGTGAAATGCTGAGGTCCATGTGTTACCCCTACACTTAGCAATGGAACTTCTACCACAAAATGTATCTTGCAGTGGCTAATATTGCTGTTACTACAATTTGAGAGCCTCTAAGTGTCCAAAGTTTGAATCATTTGCTGATAATTTTTTTTTGCACAAAATCAAAAATACCGGCATGCTACCGGCAAGGCATGCCAGATACCACGAATAAACCTGCGGTAGTGAAAAATTACCGGCATGCCGGTAGTGCGGTAGGGAAATTTGGAACTCTACTACCCATCTTAACCCCTTGCAAGGGCTTGTGTACTGTGTAGGCATGCTACATGAGCTTGAGAATCCATAGCCCATTGCAATGTGCTTTTGGCTATATGTTTCAACTAAAAACAACTTATTATAGACTATTTGGTTGCATTTCATTGAAAGTATTTACGGCCGGCTGACGGCTGGCTGCCCACAGCTTGCCACGGCTGTGGGCGGCTGTGGCTGTGGAGCCGCGGCTGCGGGGCGGCTAGGCTGTGGAAAATTGCAGCCGTGCAGAACTCTACGGAACTGGAAAATAACAGAAATTGTCACTTTTTTATGTGTTATTTCCGAAGTTACCGAAGGATTTTTATAGTTCAAACATTGTGTGATAGGCGTAACTACGATCTATCCGATCGTGGGTCAGAAAACTGTGACCTTCATTTTTTTTTATAAATTTTGATTTTTTTATTTGCTTCACTTGGCTGGAATAAAAATTTTACATGGTCAGTCAACAACACGAAGGTAGGAGCTATTTCTGTCTTTTTTTATTTTAGGAATTGAGGAAAAATTTCTCGCTGAAAAATTTACTAAATTGGTAAGTTTCCGACCAATTTGAAAAACTGAAACAGCTTCTCCTGATATATTAGGTACTTCAAACTAACATCTTACTACATTACGAGTATGCCTTTCACGCGTACTTTGCTGTCCACCTTTTTTTCCCCTATGACATCAATGCGAAAGTGCCAGTCTTCTCGTTTCTGCCACCACGACGGCAAACCGACGTTAGTGCTGTTTGGACGCAAACCAGCGCCGGCGCGCACACGATCAGCCGTGGCGATGGGTACAGCTACGCGCATGTCCTTTATGCAAAATTCAAAAAAAAAAAATGTAGGTGAAGGCTCTTCTCTCGCTTACTAGCGCGCTGGCGATGACAGCACGGCGACTGATGGGTAATGTGTGAACAACTGCTCAACTGGTGTCCACAACAGCACGAAAGAATGACATTTTCTTGTAGGTGACGGCTCGCTATTGGTAGCAATCTGCATCATAATGTACCTTATGAAGGATAGGGAATGCTAGGGTAGCCAGTGTCCAAATGTGTTTGTTTGGAGCTGGCTGTATTGACTTATCATACAATCGGGTCCAGGCCAGTCTGCATTACTGAATGCAGGTCGCTTGTGATGAATATCACAGAGGTCCCAACCCGGCCCCCGCCGAAGTTAGTTGGTAGCACTGCTGCTCCACGGCGTACATTTCCTACCAGCCCTAGGGTTTACATGTTAAATGGCCTGTTTTCGGCGAGCGATATCTCGGTCAGTCTTTGAAGGAATCAATGGTTCTTAGTCTCAAATGATAGATCGATGAATTTTCTTTCGACAATTCCTCTACCATTTTTCACGAAACCCAGCCGATCTTCTACGGCGTACAGGGTATTGATTTCTCTGCACGCCAGCACCCGCGATCCGCCTCTCCGATCATCGGCGCGCGGTCCTTTGTAGCGCAGTCGGTAGCGTATCGGGCTACGGATCCGAGGGTCGTTTCCTGGGAGCGCCGCGTGATTTCGGCTAGAATTGAATGATGTAGATTCTTGCATGTTTGCATAATCAATTATTAATAGCTAATTGAATGTATCTACCCATTAATCGGCCCTTGAAACCTGTTATTTAAGAAATGAAAGAAATAAATGTCACGTGCGCGTCACGAATGCCAACCATAATTGCTACCATATTCTAGTATAACTTTTTGCTAGTCCCGACCACATATAGTAGGTTTTCTAGTAGTTATACTAGAATTTCCTACCAAGTTCGTTCTACCCTGCACTCTATATACCCTGGTCCCAACCAGCGTGTGATGCTATGCATTGCTGACAATCTTTATCTACTTGAATTTTGAATGTGTTTGTTTGAGAGTCCAAAGTCATATTTCTTAGAAACGGTTTTCTTTATTGATGCGATTACATTAGTTCCTGATTAATTACAATTGGAGAAACAAGACACACAGACACACATACATACATACACACACAGAGATAAACAAGATCACAGCCCAGCCACGGCCCAAAATCAGCTGCTCATGGACATCTATGATCACTTCAATCATGATCAATGCCTCGAAGAACAGATGGTCGAGATGGGGGGGGGGGGGGCGTTCAAATACGCCACCACCATGGTCGCCGTCTCCATGTAATGCTCCTCCAGGTCCGGAGGTGGGCGCCGGTACTGCGGCGCAGGCCCATGTCGTCCCCTATCTCCGCGTGTGTCCACTAACACGAATGACGTCACGCATGTGGGCGGAGCTATGGGCGGAGCCTAACGCACGCGGCAGTCCAAGCCGCCATATTTGAATTTATATTTTAATAGAATCTTGCCAATATTTGGGGTGAAGTCAATTTATATGGATAGCTTCGTGACAGTTTAGCTATACTAATATTAGTATAATATGGACGTGCGCATATTCAGCTTGGAATTGCTATTAAAGTTCCGCACCGCGTAGATTCGAACTCGGGACCTTTGGAATACTGCGCGGGCACGCTAACCACTACACTACCGCGACCGCGCGGCGGCCGGCGGCAGGGAGGCTGCGGAGACATGGGGGGACATTTTACGCTTTTGTGAAAAAAGCAAAAGATTTAGCGAAAAACACGTAATAGATAACTTGCAGAAAATTGTCTGCTCTTTCAGATAAGATACTTAGGTTTGATATATCTTGTGCAGACTTCATTCTACAGTGCTTCAAAAATCGCTCATTTACATGGGGATTGAACGGGGCTTCGAGATTTGACTCCAAATGACGTCACGAGCTGACGTCACGAAAAGGTAGAATCGCCGGACGACCCTACCTGGTATATAGGGCCTTGCTGCGGCGGCGGCGTCGGTGGCGGCGGCGCCGGCAGTATTCGCCGAAGTCCCCGCTGCGACCTCGGCGACGGAGGCGGCCGCCGCCGCGGAAGCAGCCTCCGCGGGCGCCCACGGCGTAAACGCCGCTGCTACGGCGGCGGCGGCATGAGATCTCGGTCGTCCATCTGCGAGATACGAATCAAAATAAGACACACATAAACAAATTCAGAAGGCACGCTAACAATTAACTCAAAAACAGCATACAAAGCACATAAAAGAAGCATAGTGAGACAGGCAATTTCTCAAGCTAGATTCGACACAAAAATAACACACAAAGCACACAGCAGAAGCACAATGAGAAAGGAGAATTCCCAAGCTACACTCTGTTTTTTGAAAGAGACAAATCGAACAACAAGCGACAGAGGCATGGACAAATAAGCACACCCACATCAAACGCTACGCAGGAGCGGGCACGGAGCTGTTACCTTGCCGAGGTCTCGGACGTCAAAGAGGACCGATCTGTGCTTCATCCCCTTGTATAGCCTGGATTCAGACTGGAGCGTGATTGAACGAGTAAGGTGAGGCACTGATGACGTCATAAAAGAAGTTTAATATACAGCCAATTTTTTCAGTAGCTGCATATTAATCAATTGGGATAGAGGGGCCAGCGCAGTGGCTTATAATGTCACTTCTGCTAGGGCAATTTTAATTTTTATGGTGTTCGACTCAGAATTAAACAATTATCACCTATAAAGGCCGAAATTGGTTCTCGAACTTACGCCAGGTGGCGTGAATACCTGGCGTGAATTTTGTACAAATTTTGGTACACATTAGGAACCCTGAATATGATTGGAATTAGAACAAATTTTAGCACAACATATCACGATCAATGCACCACCTCGTGTAAAAAACAACATAACTGCACCTTTGCTAGCTGTTGTACCAGAGCCAGTCAAGTACTATCGCACATGTCTGTGGTGAACCAGTCGGTGGTTTTGATTCCAGAGATTTCGAAATACCCCACTGTTTAGCAAGAGTACCCTTAAGGGCTCCTTAGCCTGTAAGTCAATGTAGAGGTTAACTTAACTGCCTGTTCTTAAACTAAGACAGGTAGAGAAACCAGGTTCATGCCAATCGTTAGACAACAAATAACAAATATCCAGTTGTACGCGTAGAAGTTTTATTGTTTCGGTCACACGTGTTTTATTGCCAACACAATGGACGTAGATACTGCGGCGATGTTAATCCTCCTTGGTCTCGCTGCTCAGCTGCGGCTGCGTGTTCTGCTTAGCCGTGAGCATCTGAAAAAAGAAAACTGAACAATTTCACATTGCGGAGAAGGCTGAAACGGACGCGTGATTTATGGAGAAAGATGAAGCTGTAGCAAAGGATCAACAAAGGAATGTGATTAATGGGATAATGATAGATTTTTGCGAATGGACAAGGATGTTCACCTCCTCGCGGAGTATTTTTGAAGGCGGGCCGCCCGGATAGGGCGGCCGCGCCATCGCCCTCTTCAAGAGCTCCGACGGAGGACCGCCGGGATATATTTCATCCTTATGAGGCTCCTTGGCGGCTTCCGGCGGCTCCTCGTAAATGGTGGCCAGTACTGGCTTAACCTTCATGTTTCTTTTCTTTTATCACCTAAGGAAGACAGATTTTCAGACAGTTAAGACATTTTAAAGGATTGACACCAATGCTAAGCACAACTCACAACCTGCTCACAAAGTACACAATTATAACACAAAAAATCACAAAGAGGAGCACAGTGAGAGAGGAAATGTCTTTGGCTACATAAATTTTTATTGCCAGCAATGCTTAACACCACCCGGGGAGACCTGTGGACATATGTCACAAGTGACCTGTGTCCACAGTCACACAGGCTGGCCTGGACCCGATGCCTGGCCGTATGGCTGCGTGCCATTAACCCCCAAAAATTTTTGTACAAGGCCCCAGCGCGTCCTCGCCCGATCAGCGGGACCAAGGACAGATAGGAGATTAGGAATGGACACAGTCGATAGACATAAGGCAATGGACATAGCTAAGACATGTCGAAACTTAAAGTTGGTTTCTTTCACTGTCTTGCTGCTATGTGCCGCTGAACTTGTAAAAAGTTTGCGCCATCTGGTGGAGAGTTCCAGAAGTTTGATCAAAATGTGTTTCTAACAAAACTTAGCCGTATCGATTTCCTGTCGACTGGTAGTTCAACTCGAAAATCATTTCATTAGCTTCGCTTCCAGCACCTTGCTAGTGCACCCCTGTTCCCCAGGGGGGGGGGGGGGTCATCGCCATTGGGACACACGTACTTACAAGTAAATTGCTACCAAATGCTGCCAATGTGACGTCACTGGGATGCTCGAGAGCTGATTGGTCGCTGAGATTCGAGTAATGTAGTCAATTCTGGCGCACCGGCGCAGTGTTTTCCGACCGTTGCGTGTTATTACTTTGGTTGCTACGCAAAGTTTTAACCCTCGCCCGCACATGCCATTTTCACATCCTAGAACGCACATGGGGGGGTGCCACCCCCCGCGCCATTTCGTTCCTGCTGGAGATAGAGCTTCGCGGTAAAGAGCAACAGATTCTTTGGGAAGAGACGAACCCAATGATACCCAATTTTACCTCATCAGGTCAGTCAATAAATCATATACACGAGTTATGGACTATGGAGCTTACTGTAGCCTTCTCGAGCTCCCCTATCTTCAAATTCCGGTACACGCCGGTTCGCTGTGCCGGGAACGGCACCGTAGCGAGATACAGGTACCTGGAACATAACGAAGGAAATAGTCACTGAATGTTGAAAGTTTACTAGAAAAGTACGTACAAGTGAAAGCACATAGCACTGAGGCACGCGAATGCACATTGCACGCACACACATACAGGGTGTGAATTGCGGTCTTGGAATTATCAAATGTTCCGACACACTTATTACACTTATTTTCGTGGTAAAGATTTCAACAATTGTCATTCACAAGAAAACGCGGACTTTATTCTCAGTTTCATTCAAGGTCCCTGCCGTAGGTATTGATAGCGGTCTTTGCATTCTAGAACCCATGGCGACACCAAAAGGCTGCTTAAAGTATTTGGCACCGAAACTGACGTAGTAGTCGTTCGGACAATGCCTCAAGATAACTTCTACATATGTCCTGTTGGGTCAAGTCGAACGCATCTGCATCGTCTTTATATCACTGTCCAGTGGTTCAATTGTAACTTCTGTGTCCTCAATGTTTAGCTTTTTCTATATTTTTTTTCTATATATACAATGCGCATTAAGGTATCAAGTCTACTTATGTAATTTTTGTACTAGAACAGTGCGCTATTATCAATCCTTGCATGCCTTTTAATGCTAATTTAAAGGGACCATCCCACCTTAACATTAGTTTTGAGTTGAGATAGCCAAGTTTGCGGCCAGGCTCAGAAACCACCATTTATCCTGGTCGCAACCCCCGCAGCTTTATGGTGTTCAAGAAATTTCTTCCCTTTACTTGCAGGGTGGGACCAGCTTAGTCCCTATCTCTTAACCCTCGCACGACCAGGCCATTTCTCATAACACGAACGACCAGGGGGGGGGGTTGTTACGACCCCCCCTGGCGTTTCGAAACGGAAGGTCGTAGAGCTTAGCGGAAAAAACCAACGGATTGCTCTCAACGAGATCTCGCGATTGGTGGTATATTTTTTGGTCCTAGGTCAACATTTGACCTACTTTTGACCGGTCAAAGGTCAAATTTTCGGAAAAATAGACTTTTTTCAACTTTCGGCGGCAATTGCGGCAAAACGGTGGGAGATATCGACTTGAAACCTTCACTATCGTGTTCCTTGATCAATTCTCTATCGTTTGGTATGTATTTCGTTTCCCTAGCTCTAAAAATGGCGCGTTCGGAGCGCCGGAAATCGGCAAGGTCACAGTCGGCGGCAGAAATTCGAAAAATCAAAATTTAAATTTTTGAAATCTGATTGTATTTTTGGATTTGGGAGGTCCATTTGCTCCCTATAGAAGCTAATATTGCTGCATATTCCCATTGAGGTGACAAGAATTAGCAAAATAGTGGTTCGGGCGCTTTTCAAAAATAGTACCGGACGCTGTTCCTCTTGTGACGTCATAGCTCCGTAACCTGACCTGACCCGGTCAAATTTCTTATACCATATGATAGCCAATACTTGCCCCAACATGCATGGGAAGTTTCATCACGATCCATCAACCGATGTCCGTACCACCGGCAGGAAACCTCGGGCGTTGGCACTCAGTTTGTGAAAATCCGGCCGGAGGCTGTACCTCTTATGACGTCATAACTCCGTGACCTGACATGACCCGATCAATTTTTTTTTCGGCAAAAGATGCGCAAAGGTTGCCCCAGAGGGTATTGAAAATTTCAGCCCGCTACGACAAGCCGTTTAGCGTGCACTTCGAAAAAAAAAAACTCAGGGGGGGGGGTTGATACAACCCCCCCCCCCTAGGCGTTCTAGGGTTAACTATTAGCGGTTTGTTGATGACGTCAGCAGTCATTTCAACGCCCGCCATTCCTTGAACCCGAGTTTTGCTGACCTTGAGCTCCCTTTTTTATCAACGTGAAATCCGTCGTCGGCGCTGAGAAAGCCTATTGCTTTTCATTTTAATTTGAATATTAGAAGATACCCACCACTGGAACTTGGACTGATATTATACCATACCAAGGCCGAAGATGATCAAGCTGCCTGCTATATCTGGAGCTTGGTGTTCAACTTCAACATGGAATGAAAAACAAAATATCAAAGCAAACTGGATATGGTACTGCAAGTTTAAGTCCAAAGAAATTTGAAGAGCTGACAATTGACATTAATTCTTTTCCCGCAAGGTTTCCATAGGAGATCACACCATGAGGAAATATTTTTGATGTTAAAGGGACCCTCCCACCTTAACATTAGTTTTGAGTTGAGATTGCCAAATTGGTGGCCATGGCCTGAAAATACCGGTTTGGGCATTCACAACATCGAAAAATGCTTTAATTCGGAGATATGGAATTTCAAACTTGCAGTTTTCGGATTCTAAGGGGCTAATGCATTGGTATGCCCCCTTAGAATTTGTGACGTCAGCGGAGATCTAACGATTTTTAAATCTTTTACTAAAACGTTTGGCAGCACGCGGTGGTATAAGCTGCTTTGCGCGCAACAAATGCCGCACTTTCAAATAAAGTCGCTAGGAACAGCGGAGATCCCAAAAAGTAAACAAAAGTAAAAGTCTAATATCTTGAAAACCGGTGAATATTTTTCGATGAAATTTGGTAGATATTCATTTTTGCTCTTTCTGAACCGAGCGACATCACTTTCATGCCAATTCATTAACTTTTTTGAAGGTGGGAGGGTCCCTTTAACAGTTGAAAGGGGATTGATCTTCCAGTTTTGACGAAAGACGCTGCTGACTGTCTTTGGAAAAGGATGCCGGCATGAGGTGCTATTGTGCTTGTGAAGTGGTTATAACTGGTCTTTTCACAGTGTTAAATTAAATGTGCCATTGCAGCCAAGTGTGTTATCATGTAAGGTAAAATCAAAACTACAATGTTGGTTTTACGAGCATTGAGAAGGCTGGTAGGTAACACCTGCCTGTGCTCGTAAATCATGCTGCCAAAGTATTCTAAATTAATTTTATCATACACTTTTGTTGTCCAGAATGGTTGCACTATTGTTTGGTATCATATTATTCCATGTACATATGGTAGTGTTAAGTCCGACCAACATGTTACCAGATTTGAAGCTGTTACGTTACCTAAGTACCTACCTGTTTTTTATTACTGGCGTGGTGAATGTCACCTGGATTTTGTTTTGAGGTGCAGACCTAGTAACTCTGACTACATGGGTTTGAAGCTATTATCTATTCTGTTTTTACTGGCCTGGTGAATGGCGACTGATGTTGTCCGTGGATGGCACTGAAACAAATTTTGAGTGTCAACTGCCATGTACAGTGTTTTAATACAATGCTGAGGGCTGAAAGTTGTCTTGTTTAGAGTGGTGAAAGTTCAGGATATGCCAGCCACCATGGTGGGTCAGAGTTAAAGGGACTATCCCACCTTCTAAAATGTTGTTAAAACCAGTTAAATTGTGCCCGACTTCATAGATTGGATGACCAGGAACACGGTTCTGGCATTTATTTTTCATTAAACATCTTAGGCTTCCCATATTCCAAACACAAACTTTCAAATATGTGACGTCACAGCCCAAAATTACCTCCTTCCCCAGGCCACATTACTGTCATAAAGCTGATTCTTTTTACTCTGTAGGCAC